AAAAATTCGTTTTTTCTAGAAAATGAATGACTGCTCTGGTTCTGCGAATCTTCTGATGTGAGAATCTTCATAGCATCTCTTTTTCTTGATGTTTCAAGTCAGTATGTAGGGAAATTTTATTGTTATTTGAGGTATCTGACTCAAAGCACTGAATGATTCAAATGCCCCTACATGTTACAAACTTGTGTTCCTCTGCGTCTATTTTCACTCCTTCCTCTCTTATCCTCCTAAGAATTCGTACAATAAGATTCCGATCTTCAATCTCACTCAATTTTGTGGCAAAGGAATGAACTAAAAACCAAGGCATTTGACTTACCTTGTAGTAACCAACACATGAATACTTGGAAAAACACCATTGCTGTAACAACATATTTGAATGACTCATCGATGCCGAAAAGCTGCAAATAAGCAGTGTTAACAACACTAAGCAGTTCGACCTAAGTGGCTAGTATTCATCGGTCCGCTCTTGCATCAACATGAATCTTAAGTACAGATAAACGGGTACTTACCTCTTTGATCTCTGGATGAGCTTTTATTATTGCCTCTCTTCTATTTAGATGTGGTTGTTCCGTATAGGTCCACATAAAGTCATTTCTTGATACGGACTGACCCATTCTGGAATATGTAAATATTTCTATATGTTATGATTTTGTTTCCATTATGCCTCACATATAATTACTAGATAGGCTAAAAAATAAGCTCGTCTTTTTAACGGTTTGTCGGTACGTTACAAATTGATGTATGTAAAAATGTATAGTACCGTCGAGAAGAGCAAATCAAGTGGAAACGGATGTACGACTCTTTTCGAGCGACAATCTTTTGACAACGAAATCTTGCAGAAATAATAAAATAGCTAGGTTTTTCAACAAAATTCGAAAATCAGGCTCCGAAGAAAACTGAAGTTCACAATGTACACTAGCGTCCATCAGAAAATTATAAAATTTCCAACCATTTACACGACCGTAGAGGTCAAATGCAAGCGATCTGGATTGCCCAAAAACTTTCAAGCGCATAAAATTTTCATTTTACTTAAAGAAATTTATAAGCAGCAAACCACAATCTCTGGTTCGCCATGTATCCAGAGGTTATATGCATTCAGTAACCAAACTACTCGTCTGTGCACACACTAGATCCTGAGAACGACGAGAAAGTCAAAAAAGTAATTTTCTAGAAGTCTAGCTACTCTTCACTCATTAATGACAAAAAATTTTGATTATCTAGTATGTGAAAGTAGAGGCTGAATCTCAGCTAAAACACAGCTACTTGTTTTTATATAGCTTTGGAGTTGCATGACAAATCGAACTTATTTATTAGCCAACCTGATATTTTTATTCTCTCTCAGTGCACAAGAGTTGAAAAGCAGAAAAAAATCAGAGAGGGTGCTTGCACGAGGAGCAGGAGAACCATGTTTTTATCTTACTTGCTCTTGATGCTTGGTACACAATAAAAATAAGTTGTTCTCGGTGTTATGTAAACCACAAAACTCTTTCGCAGAGTGTCAAGCACTCCAATCAGATTGAAATGACGTCAAAACTCAGAGGAAACACGGCCAGAGGTGTCAGCTTTATCTTGCTCAAATATAATGAAAGAAAGTGAAAGGAAATCTGAACCAGCAATTGTTGTACGGAAAAACTGTTATTGAATCTTGCTTTTCTAGTTCCTCTTAACATATTCACGACAATACGAGCCAGCGGTGGTCGTACGTGTTCT